TGGAACCAGGGATTGAATTCAGGGCAGTAGACCACTGAGCCACATCCCCAGCCCGATTTTGTATTTTACTTAGAGACAGGGTATGGCTGAGTTGCTTAGGACTGTGCTTCTGCTGAGGCGGGTTTTGAACTCACAGTCCTCCTGCCTCAGCCTCCTAAACTGCTGGGATTATAGGCATGCGCCACTGTGCCTAGCTGCAGCTGATTCTTATAAATGTATTGAAAGGAAAGTGTCCCTGCCCTGAAGCTAACATGTATCACGGCTGCTTCGTGTTTTATTGACAATAGCAGTTCACAGGACTGTGCTCACCCTCAGTGGAGTAGAGAAGCAAGCGTAAATCTGGATATTCCTAGTATGAAAGGAGAACTACTGTGTCCACCCTCAGGATTAAGTGCCATGAAAAATATGTAGAGCCTGAGAGGATAGAGGATTTAAAATTTGTAAAAAGATAACAAAGTAATCATGAGCTTTCGTGTAGATTATTACATAAAACTATAAGTATGTATTTCGGGCAAACATTGAGTGGATATAAAGAAAACTAGTTAAGAACTATTGTTACAAATCGGTGCTCAGACCTGAAAGAAACATTGAAGTCATTCATGATAGGCTGAAGTTTGGAAAATTTAGAGTTGTTAAGCATATTTGAGAATAGGGAGATAATATTCAGATTGATGTCTCCTACTATTTAGACATATAGTAGGTGCTTGAGAAGTGAATGATATTCATTATTTTGAAGTCTGGCTTTTCTACCAGATTAACCATCTTGAACTATCATCAGTTATAATTTTGTCGTGTTACTTAAAATTATCTTCCAAGGCTAATTTTATTGTGTTTATATCAATATTTTTATGTTCAATTATAGCTTCAGTTTGGAACAGGTATGCTTAAATCGGTAGTTGTCTATTTCTCCTTATTTGTCTAGCGTATTTCCCTAAATCATTGTTAAATGTTCAGTAGGAGAAAGAAAGTTCTAATACTACTTTAAGTTGGATTTTGCAATCAACCATCTTGTCTTTTTTGTTGTTGTTGTTTGTTTGTTTTTTTGAGCAACCTTGATGTTTACCATCCCTCTACCAGCAGCTGTGTTAAAAAGGGATTTCTCCCGTTTGAATAAAGAAGGGGGGAAATGCCAAGATTAAAAGAAAATATATTCAAGGTCATGAATATTCTTAGTGATAGACTAGTATACTTGCTTTCCAAGATGCAGTAGTAGAATTAGAGTATTTTCCTGCTCATTTGCTGCTCATTTATTTTGCTTTGTAAATAAATAAATACCCACAAAGAAAACTCAGCTATCCTTTCTGTGGGTAAGACAAAAGGCAAACCAGAAGAGTGTCTCTGTCTCTTCCCATCTGACCTTTATTGCAGTATCATCCCTTCCCAACAACTGATGGTGTGTCTGAGGCATCATCTCGACCCTGTCAGTCAAAGAGGCCCGATCTGTGCATCATGTTGAGTCTGTGAATGTCCAGGCCCTTTGATGCCCTTTGCTGCTCTTGCATTTGTAGGGAATTTGTTGGTGAGTTGGCAAATGGGACACAGCTGGCTTCTGATTTAGAGAGTGCCTTAAACCAGTTACCTCCTACCTTAACTTGATCATTTAAATGGAAAGCGCTACTGCTCCAACAGAGCAGAAATGATATAAAAACTATTTCTGACATCAGTATCTTGCCTCCTGGATTGCCATGGCTACTAGTGTCTCTAAGGGGAAAAGAAATAAAAAATAAATAAGAACACAGCTTTTATAATTCTCACAAGTGTAAACCCACTTTGCATTACTTAAGAAACGCTTTAAATGCACAATGACTGTCTTAAGCTAATGACAATTGATGCCAGACCATTACAATAATCCAATGAAATAGAATAGGGTTTTGCAAAGTGGCAATTTGTGTAGAAATTGTTGATAGCATCAATACCTGCTGGGAACTTTACATATAAGTGGGCTACAGCTTTGGCAGAGGAGTTATTTACTTGGCCTTTTATTTGTCAATAATACAGTGTTTTTTTTTTTTTTTTTTACTTTTTCAGGGAAGATCTAGGACAGTTATTAATTAAGAACAAGGACATCCTTTTTCCATAGTGCCAGGATTTGCAAAATCAGTCCTGGATGCTGGTCTTACAGGTGTTGGGATTGGGAAGACCTTAATAGGTCATTTAGGATGACAGTATTCTGGAGTTGAACATGCCCGGATCCAGACTATTTGGATGGAGTCCTTACTCTAATGCAAACTGCCAGCAGTTTTGCTTGCCATACCAAATTCTACCAAGACCAGTGTGATCTGGCCCAAGGGCATCTCTCCAGCCTCACTTTATGGTCATCACTGCTCATTCCCGTCATTCTAGCCCCAATGCCATCCCTATCCCATTCAGAGGGTACATTTCCTTTGCAGCCTTTCTATATTGGTTTTTCCCTCTGACTAGCGTATATTGATCCAGCATGTTAAAAGTATATAAATAAGTGCTTCCTGTGATTATCTTGGCTGATTCTTATACTAGCCCGGTAGAACGAACAATGACATTTGATGATCAAGAAATGGAGGTGGATGGATGCAGCAGAGGCAGTACTAGAGCCCAGGCAGGTACTGAACACATCAACAGCACCCAAAACTCAGGGAACAGTTCATACCCTCCTTTTAAGTTTAAGACTCTTGTAGGGAAATCATCTTTCTGACTGTACTTTAAAAAGTAGAATCCATGAGATACTGTTTCTCTTTTCTCTGCTTTGTGTTTTCTTACAGTATTGGCTATCTCCTGATCTCATACTATATATTTGTTTGCTTATTCCTTTGTTCACTCACTAGAATAAACACCTTGTGAAGGAAAGACCTAGTTCTGGTCCAGGTGTCTCTATATTCTTTATACCCATGTCAGCTTCTGATCCGTGGCAAAGAACAAAATGTACTGAAGAAGAGATGAGTTCCGTTAAAATTATATATCACGTATAAAATATTGTGCCTTTCAAACATTTACTGAACATCCATTTTGTGCCCGATTCCATGCTGGTTTTTTGGAGATAGGATGATGAACAAGAATGATGTAACGCCTGCCTGTCCCAGAGTTTATAACATCAGGGAAGAAGCAAGCAATCAGAATAAGCATTTTGTTAAGACAACTATAATGCATGTGGGGAAAGCAAGGGTGTAGAGAAAACTACTCCAAGAAGGGGTGCACATGCTAAGACCAGGAGGATGGGCTGAGGGGGGGGGGGAGAGGCAGAGGGAAGGCCACAGGATTTCAGTATCAGGGATTGAACCCACAGGCACTTAACCACTAATCCACATCTCCAGCCCTTTTCTAATATTTTATTTAAAGTCAGGGTCTCACTAAGTTGCTTAGGGTCTCACTAAATTGCTGAGGCTGGCTTTGAACCTGTGATCCTCCTGCATCAGCCTCCTGAGCCCCTGGGATTACAGGCAACTCCAGTGCAGAATGTGTGAGGCCAAATTCAAGGTTTGAGATGAAGCAGGAAGCAAGGGCCAGGTCATCAGGTGTCTTGAAAACAGTTCCAAAGAGTCAGTACTTCATGGTCTGAGCAATATGATGCCACAGAAGAATTTTTAAAATCAATGTGGTATTTAATATCAGTTTATTACTGTTAGCTGGGAAAGTTGATAGCATTTCCATTTTATAGGTGAGACAACTGAGGTCCAGAATAACACATTAAAAAAATTGCACAGCTGATTCAATGACAGTGTTGTCAGGGTTCCTAAAGTCTGCCTTTCACTCTCCTTCCTTCCTTCCTTTGGATTATTATTCTTGACAAAATAAAGCAAAATTATTGGCTGGGTGAGGTGGCACATGTCTGTAATCCCAGTGGCTCAGGAGGCTGATGCAGGAGGATCATGAATTCAAAGCCAGCCTCAGCAATATAGTGAGGCCCTAAGCAACTTAGTGAGACCCTGTTTCTAGATAAAATATTAAAAATGGGCTGGAGATGTGGATCCGTGGCTCAATGCCTGTGGGTTCAATATCCCTGGTACCAAAAAAAAAAAAAGAAAAGCACAATTATGACCCACCATCCTCATCTTTCTTCAAGGAACACACAGGCTCTCATGCAGCTTCCAGAAACCAGTTTCCCTGAGTGGAAGCCAGCTGCTTCAGGGGTGATGGGGCTTGTACATGGACGGACACCATGTGTGCATGGAGCCCCAATTCTGTGTTTTGGGCCAGGAAGCTGGATTTGTACCAGGAACCTTTTATCTGAAAAGGCGATTCTGAACTCAGGAGAACAGAGCCAACTTGACAAAGTGGAGAGGCAGAGTATTGGTCTGCCCACGCTTTGGGCATGCGTGAGCATTCCCAGCAAAACACAGCTGGCACGTCTAATTTTAGCCTCACCACCGCCTTGAAAAGGGACCCTTTAAGGAAATATATTTTCTCCGAAACAATTTGTATTATAATGTAGCAGCTGATAGACATGTCAGAACATTATTATTGGTGGGGAAAAAAAACTCTGCCAAGTAATTATGATTTTTGTGTTTTTTTTTCCCTTGTGATGATATCAGTAAAGTGATTAAAGCATCCATGAATCAAGAAAATTCATAAAGCAAGAGGCAATGGGAGAAATGCTGATTTTATTTATAAAGAAGCTGATAAACTTAGGAGATCACTTCCTTTCGTGTTTTTTTTTTAAATGGATGTAAACATAAGAATGATTATTTCTGATATTATAAGTTGGTCCATCTACTTGTACAATGTGTGGCTTGTTAGTAACAGCCCTGGAGTAGACCCTAAAATTTCCTCCATAGGTAGCATCCTCCTTGTCTTCAGGAAGTGAAAGGTCAGTTTCTCATCGAGGTCCTGGATTTATCTGGCTTTCATGTGTGTGAACCGGTTTCGAAATCACCCCAAACACACTTTATTTCCATTCAACTAGCAAGGTTAGGACCTCTGCCTTCGTATTATTATTACTGGTCTTGCTTTGCCTTTCTCCTCCTTCCTCCCTCATCCTCTCCTCCCATCCCGTGCTCTTCTATGTTTTGTTCAGCGGTGTGGCTTACCTCAGAACTTGGCAAGAACAGAAAAGAAGGCAGCTCTCTCGCGTGGGGTAGATGGAGGGAGGGATAAGAAATAATCCACCGCCTGCGTTTGAGTTCTCCAGGTTCAGTTCCAGCGGTGGCGGCAGCTTAGCTGCAAAAACTGCTCTGCTATTCCAGATAGCCAGCAGAGGGAATCGCAACTTTGCTGGCAGCAGGGGTTGAAGCAGCCTTTTTTTTTTTTTTCTTGGAGGAAATACTGCAGCCTTCTGGACTGCGTACGCTGCTCCCTGGAGAGGCTCTCTCGGTTCCACCCACTGGCTGGAAGGAGGGGAAGTGAATGAAAGGACAGGACAAGCCCCGAACACCATGTCACTCTGGGAGGGAGACAGCAGCAACTAAGCTGTGCAAGGTTTTCTTTTTTTTTTTCTTTTTTCCCTTTTCTTTTTCTTTCTTTTTCTTTTTTTTCTTTCCCTTCTTTCTTTTTCTTTCTTTCTCTCTCTCTCTTTTTTTTTCCTTTTTCTTTAAGGTGGGGGAATGAGACAAACAGGAGACAGGAAGCTGATCTACAAGGATTCGGAGTTGTGCTAAAAGGACTTTGATTTTTTTTTTTCCTTTTACAAACGCTGGCAATTGACATCACTACAGACAGCCTGCTTAGAGAACAAACTGCCTCATCCCGAGTGGACCCCAGCAGCTGGGAGAAGCCAGGCGAGATCTGAAGAGGCTGTCCGGGTTTTTTTTTTTATCCCCCTGCTGATCTCACTCCCCAACCTTTTTTTTTTTTTTTTTTGGTGTGTGTTTTTGTTTTGTTTTGTTTTGTTTTGATATTCTTGCCGTGTTGGAACTAGCAAGTGGTGAAGTGGTGGAGTCTCCGAAGCCTCATCAGTCATCGGACTGTCAGGAATAGTGGTTTAAGAGGAAGCTCTCGGCCTGGGGCACTATACCCTGTCATCCAGTTCCCTGCCTTGGAGATAAAGATTCCAGCTACATGGGCAAACGCCTGGATCAGCCACAAATGTACCCCCAGTACACTTACTACTATCCTCATTATCTCCAAACCAAGGTATGGCTCAAGCCACGGTCTGGTAATCAGCGTGGTATCGTTCTGCACTCGGGATGGGAAGCAGACAGGCATGTGAATTACTATTTAACCCTCACCCCTATCACCTCTTCCTGCTTCTTTGAAATTGGTAACATACCAATGGAGTTAATGAGGCAGAGGAAGATAGAAGAAGAAAGCAGCAAACCCGGAATTGTAGCTTTCTGTTTAAGGAGTGATAATAGTTTGACTCGAGTTCCTTTGTTATTTGGAAGCATTAATGTTCCCTATATCTGTGGAAGTCCTTTGCAGATGGACAGGGATTTTAGAAAGGAGATCACAACGGTGATTATCAGGCACAAGAATATAATTTCAGGGACTTTTTTGGTGAGCTGTTCTTTGTTTGTGGCTCTCGAAGGGTTTTTCCCCCTGGAGAGGACACACCAGGATGGGGGTGACTCAAAGTTTTAATCGCTAAGTATGGAATGAAAGGAGGATGTGGGAAGGCATGGGGGTACCTACCAAAGTCTCTTTGAGTTTGTTGGGTGTCTTTATATGTTTTAGTTGCCTTGCGTACTTTATTTTATATTGAGGGTGACTAGGATGCCAGAGGCTGAATTAGCTTTCCAATGATGGTCTTCACTTTGGGACGCTCTGTTTTTCTGTGTGAGTCGCCGTCAGGAGGCCTGGGTTCTTGCAAAGGCATGGAATGTAACTGATAATAATTGGACTTGAATTGGTTAAATACTTTAGGCTTTGTGAGTGAGCGTGTGCTTAAATGATCATTAGGGGCCCACGTAACTAAGCAGTGGGCAGTGCCAACCCTGAACTTTATCCTGCAGTTAAGACATGACAGACTCTCAGGTGTGAAATCACTGCTCCAATTTGTCAATTAAATTGGTGGGGGGGGTTGTTTCTGGAGTCACCACCTTAAGTGCATGGATGATATTATTTGGAGCTGCATTTGCCAGACCCTACCATCTTCTTAATAAACAAATATGCCCAGTGAAGAAGGCGTGCCTGTGTGGTGTGGGCAGCCAGCAGTACTCGCTGCTGTGGTTAGGCTTTGGTAATTCATGCTGTAGTTATCTCTCATTTCTTCTTTCTCGTCCAACAATGCCCATTTGTAAAGCAGACCAGGCAGCAGACTTTCAGTATTGTATTAAGGATCATTGCTTGTTCTCTTTCTTTCTTTCTTTTTTTTTTCCCCCACTTGCTCTGTGATTCGCCTTGCCCCTCCAAGGTCGACTGGCATTGCTTTTTGCCTTTGTGAGCATTTAGTTTGTGCTGTTGCTGCTTAAATAGACCAGCCCTCCTGCTCAGTGCCTTGAGTTTTAACTCCTTGGGGGATTGAGTAGAGAATGCCGCCTGCCATTCCTCAAGGAGATGGCAAAGCAAGGACGAGTTAAAAAGGGGGAAATTCACAGTCATTTTTCATCCCCCAAAGAAACAAAAACAATAAGCTCAAGCGTTGCCTGAAAAATATTGAACATTCCATCCCTTTTACTCACACTTGGCTAAATTTTTCCAAATGTTTCAAAAAATCGTGCTTTGTTTGGGTCCTTCTTTTTTGTGATTGTGTTTATCCAGAAGAGAAACTTTAGATTGAAATGAATGAAATGATTGTTTTTCTGCATGAGATTTAACCTATTATTAGTAGAAAATAATGAATGATGTACATATTTTATCAAAGATAGAGGGTGTTGGATGAGCTACACTGGTATAGTGTGTGTGTGTGTGTGTGTGTGTGTATGTGTATGTGTTTGGTGAGTGTGTGTATTTGTGTTGTAGCCAAAGGAGGAGAAGGAAATGGTGGGGGAAAAGAAGAGAGCCTGGAAACTACAGAGGGAGTTTTTAAAAATTGTTTTGGGGTCCTACGTAGTTTAGTGTTATGTAGACAGGCAGCATCTGGATCTTGTTACTTTCAAGCTAACCAAAGGCATCAACTTCTGGAACATTTTTAAAGAAGTTAGATCCATTAGGCATCATAAGCTGATATTCAGGTATTCAGGTTGGGGTGGTAGGGACTATAAGATCAGCTACTTTGGTGGCTATCAGCCTAGTTCATATTGATTATTGTGTTGTAAAATTTCCACAGTGCTGTGAAGTTGTTGAATATGGTTAACGGTGCCTCTGGAATGACAGACATTATTAACGTTCCTGAAAGCTGAAGATGTGAAACTTGCTCTATTTTGAATCTTGGATTCAGAAAGGCTGGAAGGAAGTGGCAGTGTGCAATTGTATTTTAACATATGGGGACTTTCTGACAGTGTTAATCCTATACAATAAAGCATTCTCTTGCCCAGTGGAAGAGGAAAACAACTGGGTTATTTTCTTAACACTTTTTGCTCCTTCAACATTTATCTCTCTAAATATAATATTTTTAAAGAAAATACATGTTGCTTATATTTATTGGGTAAGTCTGGATATAATCCATAAAATCCACTGTTCTAACCTTGGTTTGTGATTACAATTCAAATTGTAAAATCATGGCTATTTAAAATGATGCTAACATATAAAGCATACTCGTGGTTGATAGAAGTAGAATTCTGTAGTTGATAAAAAATCATATTTGGTGATACCACACCTTAAAGTGTTGTCTAAATTCAGGTGTTCTTTTCCTCCCAATCCATGAGAAATATTTGCTGACCTTTGGGGTGTTTCTTGTTTGTTTTGTTTTGTTTTGGTTTGGTTTGGTTTTTGTTGTTGTTGTTGTTTGGTAAGTACAATGGGAATCTTTATTTTAAGGAACGAAAGTGTCTATTGTTATAATTATTCAGAAAATGCAAATAACTAAACTTTCTCTTTCTGTTTAAATAGTGTAACTTTAGATACAGTTGCTTTTTTCTTATGGTTAAAATAGAATGAAAATGGCATTTTTTAAAAAAAGGAAAAATGTTTCCATTCCTTTGTGTATATATGTGTGTGTATGTGTGTGTGTGTGTGTTTGTGTGTGTATGAAAGTTTTAGGAAATGTGACACTTCCCTGTCCTCTCTGCTCTCATTTCCCATTACATTAAAAATGATCTCTTGACTTTGCTTAGAAGAATAGATACATATTTGCTTAGAAGAATAGATATATGATTTATGTTCTGTCCCTTTGGGTGATTTTCCAATGCTTACAATGTTTTATGTTAGAAAAACCTTCAAGTAAATTAAATAACACAAAAACCCGGCAGTTGACTTGTAGCTATAATTTGTAGTCACATTGCTATACGTGCTTACTTTTGCATACCTCATCTCTGAAAAGATTTTGTTGGTTTTCCTTTTAACTAGTATTTTTCCTCCCCACCTCTCCCCCCAAAAAAGGAATTTCAAGAAGGAACATGGCTTTTGATTAAGAAATAATGAGGAATTCTCAGTGACAGATTATGATATTTAACATGAGACATGATAATATTTTAAGAATACAGTCATTACAACCTGGTGAACTGATATTTTGCTGTTAAGAAATAGATATTTCTTTCATATGTGATATTTGGAAAACTTTAGTCAGTTTCACAAAACTTCGTAAGTCACCCAAGTACACCAGGCAAGTTCTTCCTTTCTTCCTCTTCCACATTCTTACCAGCTCACCATGTCCCACCAATCCAGTGCAGAGTTCCTAATCATTCTGCTCTTACATCAGTGCTGCATTCCCTTCTTTGGCCATCTGGTTCCCCAGAAGGTCTTGAAGGAAGAGATTCAGATTTGGGGACCCTCACATAGTTTTTCTGGCTGGTGGTATTCAGATTATGTTCAGAGTCTTGTGTGAAGAAGGGGTCAGGTGGAAGGAGCAATCCATCAACTGCACACTGATTTCAGACGGAAGTTTCACCATCTGCAGCCTGGATTCCCGCCTGTCTGTAAAAGTCTAGCTGTAGTCCAAACCGGATTGTGCCTTCCAAAGAGCAAACACTTGAAAACACAAGGAGTGACGAGCAGGCAAAGAAAGAGGGGCTACTGTGGGGGCAGAGGATGTACTTCAAGATGTGAGTGTGCCCAGCCTCCAAAAGCAAAACAAAACGACCACGCAACACACTCCTTACACATGGAAATGTACAAAATCATGCAGAGGGAGGGAATGGGTTTAGAATTTCCTTAGTACTTCCTGCCTCAGATTTGCATTGATAGCCAGAGTTGGGAACATGCCAATTGTTTTAAAACAGCCTTGAAAACTCCCAAGTTCTGTTTTCCTTTGAAAGTCTGAAACGTACAAAACTGGTTTTCTAAAGTCTTCCAGCAATTGAATATTTAGGTACAACTCCAGATATTTTCTTTTGCTTCAGGGGAGCAATATGATAGCATGAGACT